GATTTCACCTATCGCGGGTTCTTTTAGGAACGTAACCTCCGAGATAAACCAGGGTTCACAGTATCGCATGGAAACAACCTCCTTTGAGGAAATATTCCCCCCAGATGGAGAAAAAAAAACAAACTTACTCAGAGAGTCGCTGCATCTTGCAACCTCATTATTGAGCCCGATATGTTTATTTTATATTTTTTTGCAACTGCCGTAGCGCCGCATATCAACATGCTGAGAATTTGCGCTTAAATTAATTCATGAACGCCAGGTGTGCGACAACATGGCTGTGAAAGAAAAGGTCTAGGGTGAGACGAGGCCGTAACTCCTTTCTAAACTCAATGTAAAGATGGCGGGACGACCTGTACACCTCTGAACGATTAGTATCTGTGAGACGTTTATAAGAGTTTCCCTGCAGTGAAATATTTATTAAACTTATTCAGTGGCCCGGTAAAGAAAATATTTACCCTTAACACGTAAACAGTCCTGTTGATATTAATCACGCTTTGTCGTCACAGCTAATAGTATGTTGATTGTATTAATAAAATAATTCTGATTCTAATTGGGTCATTGATCCGTTTGAGCGAAGGCGCAGCAGAACCAGACCCAGGAGGCGCGGCAGGACCAGCAGCAGGAACAGGAGGCGCATCAGAACCGGGAGGCGCGCAGCAGCTTCCTCTCCTAGAGACAAAATGGTGGCTCTCAGTGGAGCTACCGCCCGATCAAAGAAACCCTTTTGTTCGTAAACTCACTTTGAACCTGAAATTCTCCGTTTGTGTTTTTTTTTTCTATCAAAGTTTCAGTTTCGGCACCTCGGTATTAACAAATAATCTGGGTATTTAGTCGTGCTGCCATTTGAAAGTTCCCACCGCGCTGTGGAGTCAGAAAGGATCCTCGCTATGATTCAGCGATATTTGGACACCACCCGATTTTTAATGTTACTGCAGTGTAGGCTATTGTTCATATTTTCATTTTTGCACATCGTATTGTTTTTTTGTGTTGTTTTTTTTACCCGCTAACCTGCTCGTCTCGAAAAAGGTGCAGTATGAGGAAGATGTCCATTGGTTCAAATATTATTTGAAGTAACTAGCTTTAGGCCTACTTTTATTTATTTTTGATCCAAGTTATATTGTTTTACACCGTAACTCATCGTTGCGTGAACAGAAAATAAACAGTAAATTAACATGCGCTGAACTTCTCTCTAACAGACCTGGCTCAAAGACACAACTTGAACTTAGGAGTATGGTGTTTCAAAAACACAGCAAAATGACACTTTAACAGTCGTCTTTATTTTGGAGGCATGTTTTGGATATAGTTTTATTTCATGTTAGAATATATTTATAGGCTTCATATTTCTCAGGTTGTACATCCATTCATCATCAGGGTGGGGGTGCACATTTTTATTTTATTTTATTGGAATTATTGTTATTATGTAGGCAACAACAACAGAGCTCAAATTACTAGACAGCTAATGGCTTGTTTTTACATGAATTTGTTCTACCACCTTCTGTTACTTTCCATCCTTCTACTAAAGCATTATTCTTATCTGAAATACATTCTATAAGCCTTAAATTAAGTGAAAGATATAGAATTTAAAATATCGTAAAACTATAAAATTTAATAAAAGGTAAATTTAGCACCTATACAATGTCAGAGAGATGAAGCCGCGTTCCCCCATCAGATAAGGTTTCCTCTGCATCTCTGCACCGCGCAAGCTGCAGAAAATCCCCTACTTATGAACATCAGGATCTGATGGGCCTTTAAACCTTTTCTTATAACGTTCCCCCTTCTTAATATGGGGGGAACGGCATCTGATGGGCCTAATTGTTCTGTCAGGCACTGTTCTCCCTGCAAGGGGGGAACGGTATCTGATGGGGGAACAAGGCTTGATGTAGCAGCAGTCCCACCACAAGCCTGCAGAATAAGCAGGAGAAAATGCATGGATGGATGGATGGATGGATGGATGGATGGATGGATGGATAGTAAATGTAGCTGGCAAAGAGTAAACGTGGTCCAACAATTATAAAAGAAAAAATATTTTCCCATCATATTCATCACAATGCTACTGCATAAATGAATCTATTTTGTACATGAATTACACCCTAAGTTGTTATAAACACACATGTTTGTGCTTTCATGCTTGCATCATCAAAGCAGATGATGCAAGCATCAGTGGCTTCATAACTGAGAAACCAAGACAAAGAACACGTGCTCTGGAAAGTTTGCTAGAGTGTATTGATATAGTTTATCTTTTTTTAAAGAATGTAGTCAACAACAGAGCTGGTTTGTGATGCATCAGCATGCAGGGATTTGCAAGAGGTGCAAAGCTGATACTGATGGGGAAAATACATCTGAAAGATGTAAGAATGTAGCATTTCCTACTTGTAATTCTTTCTTGGTTCAGAAATAAACTCTTACTTTTTAACTATCTTGGATTTTTTTTTTTCATAATGTGTGCAGAAATTGCTGAGTCCAAAAGCCAAAAAAAAAAGGAAGCTTTCCATTGGAAAATATGAGCCACATACAAAAGGTACTCTATACTGTAAACAAAACAGATTTTAAACATTTTTAGCAGGATCTCTTTAACAAAGTACACCGCCACAAACACATTTGTGTTATTTTGCACCATCCTTGTGGGGGCTATAGGAACTACCTGATGACATCTTTTTGACACATGTCTTTTTTTATGACAACTACAGCACACAAGCTACCTTTAACCTGTTTAACATTTAATTTACAAGCAAACATATTAGGCCAAATTATCATAATTCGTAAAAATAACTTTAATAAGGTTCTATACAGTTAAAGTGGGAGGTGAAGTTGCATTTTCAATTTCTATGTCTATTGAGACATGTTGGACTTGAAAAAATGACCTCAAAATATGGTAAATTTCCTGAAAATAACTGTACTCGACCGTAATCTGAGCAGAAAAATAAGACAATCTGTCAGTGGAAGAGAGTTTTTAACCTTCAAATAAGATTATTACATAAAAAAAAAAAGCTATTTTTTCATAATCTAAATGTGAATCTTAGTTCATTTGCAAATTGTCATATATACCCACCTCAAATCAAATCAAGACATCAATGTAGTATTGCCATCTATGGACTGCGGAACATTGTTAAGCTGTTTATATATATATATATATATATATATATATATATATATATATATATATATATATATATATATATATATATATATATATATTACTGATACTGATATTACTGATTAACTGCGCGACCGAAAGGCGATTTTCCGTTTTGTTGAGTTTTGAACAGTGAAGATCCTGCAACATAGGTTTCTGAGACCTAATATGGGCTCTTTTTTGTTTCTTTACAATTGGCTAATTAAAAGGTTGCAATGTTTCCCTGAAAACTGAACTGTTTAATCTCCTCGCTAATATTCTGCCATATATTATGATTATATTTGCCTATTTTAATTTATTTGCCCTGATTTTCCTCTGTGTAAGCGGTCCCCCGCCCGTCACATTAAACCGTTAAATTGACTTATTCAATTAGAGCATGATCCGCTTCAGCCTGTTTCAATTCACGCTGCCAGGAAGAATAAAGTTAATAAACTAACTTAAAGCGAAAGTGTTCAGTTCAGTCTAGGCGTTGGCTTGATTCTATGTTAAAATTCCGCTAAAATTCACGTAACCCTTATTTCTGCTTGGGGAGAAGTAAATATAAAAGGGCGTATAAGAGATTCAAATTAAATAGCATTACTTTATTTTGACATGGAGGTGGGCAGCACAGTATAATCAGAGAGGGAGGAGGACACGGTGTTTTCATTGGCTGGAAGCCGTTTGACGGCTGACCAATCACCGATCTACTTTACGCCCCACGTCACTTAACGCCCATTCTCGTTGATTTAATTCCGTTTTCTGCCAGTTTATCTCCTTTTATTTTTGAAAATCCGTTTAGTTGTTGCTACAACTAAAATATCTATTTTTTTTCTCTTACAGACTTGGGACACGGTCAGTGAAGATGAGGATCTGAGGTTTAATCCAAGAAAAATAAAATAAACGTATTTTTTTTTTTTTTTTTGCATTTTCTTGTAGGGAAATCTTACATAATAAAAGCCAATAAATTGGCAGAAGAGTTTAGCATAGAAAATAAACATTAAACGTTTCAATGTTGTCAATAAACACTTCTGACATTTAAGTCACTACAGCTGTTTATTACACCTGTGTAATCTACACTTACTGGGACAATGAAAATTAATTATTCCGTAGGTGCAAGAATTACATAAAACAAGCAGCAAAAATGCAAGGAGGGCCAAGAAACCATTAATTGTAATAGGAAAATTTAGAAAACACTTTTTAGAAAATTGCTTATAAAAATGTTCAATAGCCCATTTTATGAGGTAACCAGGAAGCCATTTTATGGGCAAAAATATGAAGAGACCATTTAATCCCCCAGTGACTACTTTCTGCTTCCTTTTATTTGATTTTATTACAGAGCATATGCATATTTAACCTTACAAGAAAAGTTCTTACGAGCATCCACAAACACACATACATACTCCACTCACATGAAAACACCTTGTTGTTCTGTTTTTTTCCCCCCAGAAATTAAAAAGAAAATCAATGAAAAACTCACATAATAGCGAGCGTGGTCAATTTAAATTAAAAGGTCATTAAAAATAATGAGTCAGAGTGCAACACCAACTCTGTGATGACAAAGCAACATCTTGTGCGTTGTGGAGTTTTAACAAGAAGGGAAATTTTCCTGCATCCATGTGCAGACCTTACTTTTAGTGAGACATATCACTGTTTTAGAAGCATCATGATTTATTGTTTTCATCAAATAACCCCAGGATTATTTAGACCTAATCTGATACGAAGCAGCTAGAAAACATGTTTTATTTCGATAGACATCTTCAGCTGTACTTTTTAGAGGGCCAGACTTTATATATATCCCATAAAGAATAAAAAGACATATCGATCAACCAGCTCTCACTTGTGTAAAGTATAAGGCCATGGAGCTCCACCTGGGGGGCAGAANTGTACTGTAGTAGAGAGCAGATTTTTAGAGGGCCAGACTTTATATATATATATCCCATAAAGAATAAAAAGACATATCGATCAACCAGCTCTCACCTGTGTAAAGTATAAGGCCATGGAGCTCCACCTGGGGGGCAGAAGACTAAATATATATACAACAAGGATAAAGTACTGTGCAAAAAACTAAGGTAAAGACCGCTAACCACCTATCCATCTGTGAAGGTTTTCCAAAAACACTCAGGGTGGGAGCCTTACACTTTAACACACTCAATTTACTGGTTTTTACATGATTGTAGTCATATAAGGAGCACAGGAACAGTTTACATGACATCCTGTCAGATTCACGGTAAAAACCCACACAGAAGAAGGAGAACATCATTTTAGCAAATATTTTTCTTGTGCCATTCCAGTAAACTGGGCGATGCTGAGAATGGGAATGTAAAAATACAGTAGAGATTACCCAACCAGAGTTCTCTTAGTGCAGAGAAATTAAAAATTAACATAATAAAATATGATTCAGGATAATTAACTAAATTTAACTTGTTATAATTTTTCATTGTCTTACTTGAGACTTTTAAGCAGTTTTAATTTTCGGCCTACATGGATTTGGACACATTGTTTTAGCCTAGTCTCCTGTATAAAGCAGATATAATGGATCACATTGTAGTAATGCTGATTCTCTGCTTTTAAATCTGACTAAAAAGTGCAAAAAAAAAAACAAAAAGCGGCTGAATTGTGCTTTTCTCATATTCCCATGGGGGAATCTGAACCTTAAAAAGGAACAGTTTTAACAGCAATCCATTACATTAGTAAATAAGAAGCAGACTGCATGTCCTTTTTGTTATGCCCACATTATTGGTGAACACAGATTTAACAGAGCCCTTTAGTTGGAAAAACAAAAACACATTCACAGAACCAGGGGAGAAGTCAATCAAATCTTTAACCCATCAAAGACAGAAGATATCCGTACAGACAAACAAAACTAAGCCCGTCTGCTTCTGAAGACGAGCACAGGCCCCATCCTGTCGTGAGTTACCTCAGCGGTACTCTTTGCATCAGTTTCTCAGTCAGAGGTCATCTCTTTTTTACGTTTCCTTCATCTAAGGGCTTCTTCAGTTACCAGCAGTCTGGGAAACATGATGATCCCTCCAGTGGAGGTCAGCCATCTCCTCTCACTTCTGGTGGGAACATTTCAGAGGCTGGAAGTAAAGTGAAAGAACTGTGCAAGAGTCTGTATGTGCATATATATTTAAAACCTATTCATAATCATATCTTTTGATCGGCCCTATCTTGTCTCTCACCCAGCCTCCCCCCTGCTTGTCTGAACCATCATCTTTATTTCCTAAGTCCTTTCTCAGATTCAGTCCTGTCCTGCAGGCTCACTGAGGAAATGAAGGCATTAATATGCCTTCGATATTAAGTCCATTTATCTGCACAGAAACAAAACTGATCCAGTATTTTATCTCCTGAAATCATGGCCTAAATTTCATCGTATTACTAATACAGGATATAAGTAAGCAGTGAGGAGGGATTTTTTTTTTTTGTATGTGTGGAGATCTGGCCAATCCAGCATGGTCTAGGCATCAGTTGGTCTCGTAGGAGGAGAGCAGCGCTGCATCCACAGGCTCCATGCAGGAGGGGCAGGTAAAAGATCTCATCAGCCAGTCGTCTATACAGTCCATGTGGTAGATGTGCATGCAGGGCAGGAACCGGATGGGGTCGCCATAAACAAAGTCCATCATGCAGATCACACACCTGTGGAGGTAAACAGATTTTCAGATATGGTCAATATATTTACTTTATTGAACTATAATTACTGCGATGGACTGGCGTCCTGTCCAGGATGTACCCCGCCTTTTGCCCGAAGAAAGCTGAAGATGGGCACCAGCAACCCTCGTAACCCCACTTGGGATAAAGCGTGTCAGAAAATGGATGGATGGATGGTTGGAATAATAATTATTTAAGCTTTCTACATAATGGATGGATGGATGGATGGTTGGAATAATAATTATTTAAGCTTTCTACATAATCTCCCCTTTAAAGCTCAGTTGCAGTTTCAGGAACAGGGAAGCAGTATCTACTTTTAGTTGTTGGCTTAACAGCTGCTTTAAAAAATGGCAGCTTAATACCACAAACTGCAGCATTTTTAAATGGGACTATATTTGATAAACCAACACAAAGAGGTGGGTTATATCTTGATATACTGTATATACCTGGATATACTGTATATAAAGCTTATTCTTAATGCACCTTTTTCCTCCTTGTTTGCACCTTCTGTAACTTCTATGCCAATATGTGACGAGTGAATTTCTCAGCTGTGAGATCAATAAAGCTCATCTAATCTAATCTAATCTAATCTATGGAAGTGTACGGGTAATGATAAATCGTTTAAAAAAAAAACCCCCCCCCCAAAAAAAAAAAAAGGAAAATACCCTAATATATAGTTTTATGGGAAGTTCCTCAGTATATATACTAAGAATAAATGTAGTACATTTACAAATTAGTACTTCGGTACATTTAAGTTTCTGGTTGGTATCTGAAACTTGCTTTAAAAATACTAAACAAGTATAAATACTTTAAGCAGGAATATTGGCTGCTGAAGGCTTAAAAAAAATTTTTGTCAAAATATCCAACATATGGAGAGTCGTTCCCTTCTACCCAGATTAGCATTAGGTTCGTACTCACTCTCTGATCTTCTTTTCAGAACCATCACGGCCCGGGTCGTACACACCCTTGGGGAGGTGCTGGATGAGTCCGATGCGTTGAGCAATGCGGACCTGCTCCTCCTCAGTCAGCTGAGTGGCCAGCCGGGCCTGGCTGGGCGTCGGGTGGTAGACAGGCACATGGATCTGCTCCTGCAGACAGAGACTCTCATTAAAATATAGCCAACAAGTGAAGGTCACTCCAAAAACACCTTTACATTTTTACTGGTATGTTCCCCCAGATCAAACCTTTTATTGGAGGTTTCACCAACATGACTGGTTTATTAAGATCTGCTCCTAATAAACAAGGACAATAACAGCAGCAGAGGCCACCAATGAGCTTAAGCATAAACATCCTGTAAAATTACACAACTATAATGTAAGGCAAGGCATGGTTTATTTGTATGGCACAATTCTAAACATGGACAATTCAAAGTGATTTACACAAATTAGATAATAAAATAGAAGATAAGTAAAAGCAGAATAAAAGAAAATAAAGAAAATATGTGTAAAACAAATAAAACAGTTGGACCACAACCTTAAACTAGTAATACCTCAGTTAACAGTTTGATGTCAACAGTCAAAGGCATTTCTAAATGGGTTTTAAGTTTGACTTGAAAGGCTTTCAGCACTTTTCAAGTCTTCTGGGAGTTTGTTACAGATAAGTGGAGCATAATAGGACCTAAATGCTGCTTCTCCATGTTTGGTTCTAGTTCTGGGTGAACAGAGTAGGCGGGAACTAGAGGACCTGAGAGGTCTGGGAGGTTGATACACTAAAGACAAATCTGTTATGTTGGTGCTGATCCATTCAGTGACTTAAAGAATCTGAGCTGCAGGGAGCCAGTGGAAGGACTTCAGACATATGCTGATGTGCTCTACAGTGTTTTGGATCAGCTGCTGCTGTCTGATGGACTTCTTAGGCAAACCTATAAAGACACTATTGTATTAATCAGTCTACTAAAGATAAATGCATGTAAGTTCTTCAAGATCCTGCTTGGAGATTAGTCCTTTAATCCTGAAAATGTTCGTCAGTTCATAAAAGGCTGACTTGCTAGCTGCCTTTACATAGACTTATGTTATCCTTATCCATTTTTGCACTGATGTCTGCACCACTGATGTGAAATTCCTTCAGTACAAACCAATGAAAGTACCTAGTTGAATTTGTAGGTTTCAGAACCAAAAATACAGCCTTTGTTCTTAGCATGTATGTTACCATCTGTCTCATTATGACTTATGAGAAAGGTTTCCATTCACTGCTGTCAGCATACGGTCAAGCTAAACCTCTAGTCATAATGGTATGTCGGCGGAAATCCGTAGGTGGGAGTGTTTCCACGAAGCTGTTTTCATTCAAACAAATGTTGGCCACTTTTAGCTCATTTAGTTTACTTTCAAACAGCCATGAAATAAGAAACAAAACTCAAATAGTCATTTAATCTTTTTTAAACATTAGTATAACTATAACTTTTCATCTTTTTAGTGAAATTTCATGTTAATGTCAAGATAAATCAACATTCCTGGAAAGATTAATAGCTAACTAAACCCTCTTATTAAACTGGTTTTCATTCACTAAAATCTTTGTCACTTTGTGGTCTGGACAAGTTCCTTCCCCCTTTCCTCCCACTGAGCTCTCACATACTCATACACCCTCAGCAGTTACTTGCGGTGCCTGCTCCACTTCCTCCTTTTCATGTTTCATTCAATTAATTACTTCTTCTCTTATAGGTTTTCAAATCAGAAGATTAACAATTCAAAAGATCAAGAACCCCAATTCAATATAGTGATTCTAAATATTGTAAAGAGATCTTTTTTTTTATTTAGAGAAATGTAATTTGTAAACAGATGCTGAGCATTTAAACATGTGTCAGCATGTTTATTGACTGAGCTTGTCTGCTGCTCTCCTGGCTTCTTTGGTCTACATAGAAGAAAAACAATGACTGACAGTATGACCATAATAAAAGCTACTAGCAGGGCCTCCGACAGGACAGCAGCTGTGATCCTTCAGTCTGCAGTGGTCAGCTATTTCATTGTCTCTCCCTTTTAATGCCTGGCATGTCATGCCAGCCTCCGATGCCTGATAATATAACAACCTCAGGGTAACCCGAAGGATGAAGCTGAGAAGCTCTTTTTTTCCCCTCCTTCAATAACAAAAATATGCATCCGTTTTTGGCATTTACTTAACCATGTTTCATTACTTTAACACAATTTTTTCATGTTGCAGGGTAGGACATAAAACAGTTGCATTGAAGTAACTAAATATGATTTAGCAGATGCCAAAAACGGTTGCATTATTATTTTCAGTGTGGACTGCGGAGCTGTGCATGCAAAATTGGACACCGTCAGCCTGTAGGACTCAGGCTTCCCACATAGAGCTGGCAGAGGGGTGGAAACTGTGTAGATAGAAGTGAAAGCAGATGCAGGAAGCTAAAATGAAAGAAAAAAAAATTGTTGGGACTGGACTGTTTAAAATGCACAAGTTTTTATACCATTTAGATGGGCCAAATTTATGCAAACACCATGTCACATTAAAACAGGAATTGATTATTGCAGTAGCAGAAAAAGAAAGCAGAAAAGCAGTGCTTAGACTCCACACATCTCCACATATTTTATAGAAACAGGATGAAAGATTTTGAGAAAAAAATATATTATCATTATTATAAAAAATATAAAATTTCTAAATTTCTAGACTTTCATGCAATCTAAAAAAAATAATAAAAATAAGAAATCAACAAGCACTTGAAAGGAATTAATGACTCAAACATGAAGTATTTGCAACCTTTGACATCCAAGAGCTCTCTTTAGTTACTGCATAGTTTGTGTGTTTGAACACAACCTGCAGACAACTGCACACCACACAGGGAAATCATTTAAAAGTATGGAAAAGACAAACATTAGCAACACAGGAAATATTTGTGAGCATGATAACAGGACGGACGACAAGTACTGCCCAAAATACAGAATAAGACCTATCACTCTAATTCTAATGAAAGCATTTTATATGTAGGTTAATATGGTCAGGTCATAATCTCTCACATTTTCTTTGTCCCATACATCCCTTGCTGTCAAACTAAAATGGAGTTCTTAAGGCATTTCATCATAAGGCCAGCAGAGGGCGGTGGTAACAATTCTATTAACAGAAAGGGATTCAACCACTTAAGTTATACATCCCTGCAACTCTTCCCATGAGTCTCTTTGCTGCTTCTTTGACTGAAACTGTTCTTGTCTGAGCTGTCAGATTAGGTGGCAGCCATGTCCACATATGCTTTAAGTTCAATCTCTAATCAGATGATAGATTGTACAGTTTTAATCAGGATTTTCAAAGCTTAGAATAAGAAAACCTCAAGGGGTGTGAATACTTTTGCATAGCCATGCAAATAATGCAGCCATGGGAAACCATATTTAATTCTTTAAGCTATGGTCTCCAAAAATGTCTGCAAAAAAACGTCTTAAAAAGCAGTTTTACTTTAATAATAAACATTTCAAACCACTCGTTCTCATAATGCATCTAAAATTTGAAAGCCAATCAGATAATGGCTTTAGGGTGTTTGGAATCTCCAGAAGTTATGTTATTAATGTTGAAGTAAAGTTGTTTTTTTTAATGAATCCACTGAAGTTGGTTTGGGGAGGTTCCTTATCTCCAACGACCAGGTCCAACACAGATGAGTCAGCCTCCGTCTGACCCGCTGCAGTGGAAACCTAAACCACAACATTCAATACCTAATAAACGCCAAGCAGCTCTGATTACAACACAAACACATGGACTTCTCTTCCCACCACTATCTTGACGTCAACAAAGCCATAACTGTAGACTTTTCCTCAGAAAAATCTTTCTTTCCCTTAAGTCTATTTCACAAAAACAATTTCCTCATAAAACCACAAGGATTAGCCATCTCTGAGCTCCTCTGATTACTCACATTGGGAACTAGCCCAATCCAAAGAACAAGATGGCTCAGCAGTGAAATCATCACCGTTCATCAGCAGGCACCCATGCAAAGAACAATAGCAGACACATCTAAGCCCGGTCACATCCAAGTTGGGTTTGGGTGTATCTGAGAATCTTCTGAGTCGATTAGGGGGTACTGTTCAGATGAAGCAGAATTTTATACATCATTATAGGTGGTATTAAGAATGATTTTTGCCAAAAATTCAAACTTGCAATTATTTTCAACAAATATTGTGATTTATATTCAGATATAACCCTAAGCACCACAAGCACAGACACGGTTTACATTTACATTTGATCACTGCTACATTTTATGAAATGGAAATTCACATTTCACTGCTAAGCTGCTGCTAACTGTCTGAAAGCTGTACAAAACTAAATTTCGTTTTGTATACACTATATGTTTAAAAAAAATCACACTAAAGTTGTCTAAGTCTAAAGCATTTAGGTGTTTTGGGTTCAGTTTTTTCATACCCTTAAAAGCTTGCCTTTTCTAAAGTCAATTGTTGCAGCACTAAATTGCTGTAACAATGGACTAGAATTTTTTCTTCTGTAACTCTTCCTTCTGTTCACACACATGAATCTTCAATCTGTGGTTTTTGTTTTTCTTCCCTTGTGTAGTGGCAAATCCACTCTAATTGTGTTAGCATCACCTACAGGGCTAGAGTGAGAAATTTAGTGCATTTCATTTGTTAAATATAATGTGTCCAATGTTGAGCATCTCTGCAATTTTTAGGCCCCGTCCACACGAAGTCAAAACGAACACGAAACACTAATATTTTCCAGAACGTTTGTCTTAAAGACGGAGACGTAAAATAAATGTGATCGACCACATGAATGCATGAAAACGCTGCAAAATGTATGCCAGGCCTGTAAGTGGCGCTATGGTGCCAAAGCAAAAATAGGCGAAAACAGGCAACGAAAAATGTTGGGCGTGCGCAGTAATATTTATACAGCAACCAACCCGGAAAACCG